GAGAGAGTTCTGGACCTAGATTCACGAAACTCCATGTATTTCTTCGTAAGTAGGTGTGCTACGAAGATTCTTAAGTATTGCCTAAGAACGTTTCTATGTCCGATTCAGGAAGATGTACTTGCAAAGATTTTTACCAACTTCACTTAAGTCTCACTAGATGTCACTAGGGTTTTTCATTTAGCCAGTCGGAGAGAAGGTAATATTTTTCTTCTTACAGTTGTAGCCAGTCATGACGCTGGCATATCGGAGCTCATCCGTGGTCACTTGGCACCTATAGTATATTTCGGAGTAAAACTATATTTTTTCAACTTATACAGTCAATGCCGACATTGCAGTAAACAAATATGTTACATTATTTGTTTACCAACGTAATTCTAAGAGATACTGAGTGGTTTTCCTTGTAGCTATGAAGATTGAGAAACGATGCTATATATTTAAGTACTAGCTGCACCCGGCCACGCGTTGCTGTGGCCCAGGAACCCATGTGCATTGCTGAGCCACAGCAACCTTCCCCTGTCTGCCAGTTCTTCCCACCATTCCCCCCTTCCCCATCCCCTCGTCCTCCTAACCATCCCCCTCGTCCTCCTAACTATTCCCAACTCCACCGTTCCCCTCATCATCCCCACCATTTCCTACTCACCCGTCCCTCTCATCCTCCCTACCATTCCACTTTCCACCGTCCCATCGTCTTACCTATCAGCCCACAGTCCCTTTGTCCTCCCCACCATTATCCATTCCCTGTCCCCTCCTCCCCACCATCCCCAACTCCCCCATTCCTTCATCCTTCCCACCAATACCCCCTCCTCTGTCCCTCACTCCCGTCCCCTCGTCCTCCCCACCATTCCCCCACTCCCTCGTCCGATGCATTCCCAAATGATCTGATTATTCCATCACTGAAATATAAGAAAAACAGTTAAAAAACTAAAGGAAAAAAAATAAAAAAAAATAAACTATACTCACGAAATAAACGATAATGTAAACAACACAGCTCAATTCCAACACAATGTCACAAAAATAATTATATCAAAATGAAAATAAATTGATCTATGAAAATTCAATTTGTCAATGTAATCAGAAACATTTAAATGAAATTGTAACATTTTTAGTACAGCATGCTTGGTTATTACGTGCAACAGATGGCGCTGTTTCTCATAAAAAGAATGTTTTTACCTGTCATAGGTGTGGCATCTTACTTATACTTACGAAATAATCGGTATTGTAAACAACACAGCTCAATTCCAACACATTGTCACAAAAATTATTAAATCAAAATGAAAATAAATTGAAATCAATGAAAATTCCATTTATCAATGCAATCGGACACATTGAAATGGAATCGTAACATGATTAGAATAGCATGGGTTGCTGTTATGTGCAACAGATGGCGCTGTTTTTAAAAAAAAACATGTTTTTACCTGTCACAGGTGTGGCAGCTATATAATAGGTGTATAAAAACACTCATATTTGAATGGAACGTTGTGTCAAAATTTCAAAGCAATTGGTGAAGAACTTTTGATGATTATGTGTGTGTTGCTCCTACATCCAACAGATGGCGCTATTTAAAAAAAAAAAAAAATCCTGTCACAGGTGAGGCATGTATATAGTAGTTAAATAAAAACACGCGCCTATTCGAATGCAAAGTTGTGTCGAAATTTCAAATCAATTAGTAAAGAGGTTTTGAAGTTTTCCCTCACATGAAAAAAACATGAAAAACACAGTTTTTAAAAAAAAACATGTTTTTCCCCGTCAATGACGTGACATCTATATAATGTGTATATAAAAAACCCTGCTCGGATGCGAATGAAGCGGTCTGTGAAAATCGTAAAGCAATCGGTGAAGTACTTGCGGAGATTAGCGATTTTGAACAAACGAACATTTATATTTTTATTTATATAGATATATTTACCTACATTTACCCAAGGGCCACTAAATATCTAATGCCGCGACAAGGCCAGAAACCCGGGGGCTTTTTAAAAGTCCCGCCAATTGTCCTAATGATAGTTCCTAGCTGGATTTTGGCATTTACGGCTTCAGCTGGAAGGCAGTTCCATGGGTTTATAACCCCTCTTGTGAAAAAAACATCTCGTTTTCAGTCCTACTTGAGAGGACATATTCTCCAACACTATATCTGTGATTGCCCTGTTATCAGTTACCTCAGACCAAATGGTATGAGGTACTTTGAGCTCTGTAATAACTTCATACACTCAGGAATATTGAAAGATATTCTTATGCTGTACCCAGATTTTGCCAGTGGAGGCTTATAGATCAGCCTTACATTTCTTGTTCTCTCTTGATTCCATGTATGACAGGCCGTCTTGTGAAGATGTTAGATGAGCTTGTAGCTGGTTTTTGATCTACACTGTGTAGTCCTTCATTTAGAAAAGGGAAGCAGCACATTGCTGTGTATACATAAGCTTGTTAAAAAAAATACATTGTTTGAGAGGAGTTTTCAAGAAACTGGTATGAGAAATTATAATATAATGTTTCCATGATTCAGTGCTTACCCCTTGTGAAAATCGTGAAGTCGTTGTTTAGTCAGAGTTGATTTGTTTTTTGTATTGAGTCAGGTATTTTCTCCCTTGATTCCATTTATGATTAACAATCCAGTGAGATGGGAGTATTAGATGATCGTATAGCTAGTTTTTGATCTACACTGTGTAATCTGTCATAGAGAATAGGGTAACAACACATTGCAGTGTATACCTAAGCTTCTTAATAAAATAAATCAGATATAAAGGGTTTAAATTATAGTTTGTATTGTTATCAGTATTATCCTTATTAAATCATGTTAACCATGGATCATTAAGATCTCATGTTGATATGTAATAGTCATATTTCTTTTGTAACATTCATTAAATTGTGCATTATGTTTCAAATTTTCTCTTCTTTGGATATACAGTAAAAAAGATTGGATAAAAATAAACCAGAAATATTTGTTTCATTATATTTTTTATTTAAATAGCTGCTTAAATATTTCTACACCTGACAGGATTTTTTTTACTCACAGGTGCACTTATCTATTTAAAACAAAAATTAGGTTTATTGCTACACAGAGCAAAATTGTGTAACAGAGGAAGAGGTCTTGGACACACATTTATTCAATGCTACATGTAAAGGAATAAGACAAGCGATGTACCTCATCACATAATGATAGATTTAAACCTTAGTTGTTAGGCCATGACTAATTATAGGAAGAAGGATCTTCAGTCTGTAGCTTGCATACAGATAACAAAATAGAACTGTAAAACAGGTAACACAATAAGTGTTGAATAAAAATGCAGCAAAAAATGATGTTAGGTAAGTGTTTCTCCAAGTTAAAATTTAATAATAATTAAAAACTTTTGTAATTAATTGAATGTGAAGGCGTATAAATTGTAAGGTGCCTGACTGGGGCGTTTTGGACAACAGATGATTTGGCAAAGCTCATTTTCTATTTGCTAGAATTGTATTTATATATTGTTATGCTAGGCAGCAGTAGCTTTGGTTTGGCTGTATTGGGCTCGTTGGGTTGGGCTAGGTTAAGTAGCTTGACATTGAGTCGGGTTCGTTCAAGACCTGAGTCGGACAGATATGTTTGGGTGCATTTCCAATCACCTAATACACATATTCACCTAGCAGTAAGTGGGTACCCAAGGGTTAGTCAGCTTGTTGTGGAGTTCCATCCTTAGGCGGGTCAATAATTTGACCTTCGGGAGGGGAGGACCTCGATATAAGCTTAACATATACACTCATACACTCTGGCTGCCTGTCCCTGACACAATGAATTATTCTTATTAATTATATACATGCTTGACCTATATCAAGGTCCCCCCTTCCCCCCCCCCCACAGGATGCAGCCTAACAACAAGCTAACTAACTCCTGAATAGCTATATATACTGCTAGGTGAACATAGGCATAGAGAGATAGTAAATTCGTCCAAGTATTCCAGATATCATCAACTCTCATATCTCAAGTTCATCAGTGTTTATTTTCTTAATAACTACTGGAATAATATCTTGCAACTATAAATCTAAATATAATAAAAAGACATATATACTACAAGTTTCAAGCAGATAATGCATATATAGTTAACATGAAGGACTCCTTGATGAGACTCGCCAGCAAAAAATTTTTGTTTATAATAAAGTCAATCCTCCGGTTTAAGTAGTAGAGAAAAATTGAGTTATCTATTATACTCAGTATATATATTATACTGAGTATAATATATAATTGAGTTACATATATTAAAAATTTTAACATATTAAAATCCAGTTTACATAAAGCTATGAGTGGTCCAGACCGCTCCTAGCATGGCGGTGTTTACTTACAAAGATTTTCCTTCCTAAATCCCGACGTAGCCACCACGAAGGTGCTAAGAAGAAAAACATTTCTAAGTATGTGCGTAACTGCTTCGTGAATCTGGCCCCTGGGCCTCTGTTTAGAGCAATATGGTGATTGCTCCATCAGCCTCTATGGGGGGGGCCAGGTTGTGGCTTGTGGCTCCCTAGTAGGCACTTGAACTCCAAGGACTGATGGCACCAAACTAATATGACACATGTCAGTTTGATAACTTCAGGGAGCCTCTGGGGCTCACCCAGACACTGCTGTTTTATTATATTCAACACTGGTCTTTTTAGTTCGTTATCTCAAATGAGTTATGATCATTACACCATAACTGTTCACCGTCAACTCATGGTTCATCGTTGTCATAAATTAATTAGCATTATCTTGCATTGATTCATACAGTAATCTGTTGTTCATCGTCGTCTTAAAGTAATTATCATTTTTTTGCATTGATTAATAGAGTAATATGTTGTTCATCGTCGTCTTAAAGTAATTAGCATTGCCTTGCATTGGTTCATATAGTAATCTGTTATTTGTTCATCGTCACCTCACTGTAGGTCATCTTCAATTCAATCGTTCATCATCACATCATAGTAGCTGTAAGCAGTCTTTCTACATCTTAAGATCGAGCTAACCACTCACTATCCCTAGTTCAGGTTCGATAGTGCGTTATCAGGTACGCATGACTCAGGAGCCTCGAATGAGTCTGCACCATCTGCTGCACTACTCACTATACTCGGTGGAAGTGGTTGCATGTCAGGCGGCCACCAGAGTGCCCATTGTGGTCCAGCCGGGGCGCATCTCCCTCGTCAACAAACTGTGTTCCTCCATCCCCGCCCGGGTGGCTGCCTTCACCAGGGCTAATGGTGAGCACACCCATGTTGTTCACCCTCACACCTGTCATTCATTACATTTATTAACTGCCATGTATAATACTTCCCATTATCTCGTGTGCTACTCTTCACTTGTAAGTAATGGAAGTGGGACAAATACCAGGCCGTTTATCTTTTTCCGACGGCCGAGAATTGGCCCCCGGGGTGTTTTCATGTTTTACCACCGCCCGGGAATTGGCCCCGGGGTGTTTTCATGTTTTACCACTGCCCGGGAATTGGCCCAATGATGTTTTCATGTTTTCCCAATGGTCAAGAATTGGCCCAAGGGTGTTTTCATATATTCCCAACGGCCGGGAATTAGGGCATGAGTGTTTAAATTTTTTTGACGGTTTGCTCAATCCCATTGTGCATTTTCTATTTTTATTCGCTGGTACCTAACAGTTTCGTAATACTTTCAATCATTTATCGTCCTCTCCCTTCCATGATATATAATTTTACAAACAGGGGAATTAAACAGTTCCCTTTTAGCCCCTGCTATGTGCACCATGGGGATTAAAAAGCCGCCTTCCGCCATGCCGAAATACAGTTCGCTCAGTGACCTGCACAGACACAGTTAAACCCTAATTGTCAATAACGTCATCAGCGACCCAGTCTTCACCCAACAACTTTCGTTTTCTGTGATATCATATTCAACTAAATTTTTTTATTATTCCCATTTTCAATATTATGCAATAGGGGTTAAAGGGCCACCTTTCGTCAAGCTTAATGTGCAAGGACGTCATCTTCCCAAAATAGGCCCGTTTTCATGATAACGTATTTAACCAATAGTCCCACATTAAGCCCGTTTTCTGTGATGGTATATTTAAACCTATTTTAATATCGTTTCTCATTTTTCAAATATCATTTCTAGCCAAGACTGCATATTGTACATAAGACATGAAATTGCAGAAGGCCTTTTGTAGGGTGTCCCATGCAGGATCTTCTATTTACTTCCTGTCTATGCTAACCAAAACATCAACTGCCACTATTAGATGAACTGCAGAAGGTTTATTCCACATTTTATTAATAGCCCTTATTTCATCTCCATTTATCCACTTATACCCTTCAATCATGTTACTACATCTATATTCAGAAGGTCTTATTTGCTCACCTTACTTATCTGGACTTTATATTTATAGTGTCCAGCCAAAGATCGTTTGTTGAGCATAGGAATGAAATGAAATTCTCTGTCTCCCATTTGTATGAAACAGGGTGAAACAACACAGTATGAACTGACAAGTATCTCACTTGTGTTAGCATTAAATGACAGATTCGAACATAGGAACACTACTAAACCTCCTGTTGAAGTCTCCAACAACATACATATATTTTTATTGCATAATTTTAAAAACAAGCACTCAGACATTTTAAATTAATTTAATCCTGCCTCACTGCTAATCCTGTGTACACCTCATTAACACTCAAAAACATACACCCCACACCTCAATGCATCATCAATCCATGTATACCCTATAAAAAATCCATGTATGTTCCTCTCTCTCTCTCAGAAGACAGATAGGCCATCTGCCGTTACCTTCATGCTTATGTTCTTATGATCTTAATAAGTACATCATCAGCACCGAGGCGTGTTGTTCCACCAATAGCGGCACATGACGTGACAAGCTGTTCCAATGAAGGATTAGTTGATAGATTCAAATGATCTGAAGGATTAGTTTAACCTTTCATTAGCATGGTTATGCGACTCTTTTAGCAGCTCAACTTTTTAGCAGTAGGTAACGTCAAATGCTATGCAATGATGTTTTGTATCAACTAGTATCTCTTTTTATTTGTATTATATTTGATGTTCATTAATAACCATAAATACTATTATTTTATTAAAATGGCAAAAGATTATCCATCCCCATCCTAACCTCATCAAGGGTTTAGGAATATACATTTTTATAATTGGAAATAGTTATAATAGTTTACATTCTAATTTTGTTAACTAAATATATAATGCTGAAGCACAATATTTCAGATGACAATCTCTGTAATCGCAGTGCTGGGTCAATGCAGGGAAGATATATAGCACTTCCTCAACCATCCCAAATCTAAGTAGTTCCTACATAGTAACAGCAATTATATAATGCTATAGCTAAATGGTACACTATATTTAACAGGTAATTATTGTACATCTGGCAACTCAGTGGATTAGTACCTGTGTTCATTGGCTAGTAAGCTATCCTCACAGGCATCAAATAGCTTCCCAAATGTCGCACCGCAATTCTTCCCCTCTTTCAACTCAGCAGGATATTAGCAACTATATTAATAGGTTAATCATTCCTAGACTTCGAAAATCCTAATCTTAGTCCTAATAAGCTATGCAAATCAGCTAACTTGTTCCTAAACTTACAATCACAAATACATACATACATACATACATACATACATACATACATACATACATACATACATACATACATACATACATATGTATGTACAGACTGAGCATCAGATAATCATCCAAAGGGAAGATGGAAATGGAGCATTGGAAGGAAATGTTGACCAGACCACACACTAGAAGTTGGAGGGACGACGACGTTTCGGTCCGTCCTGGACCATTCTCAAGTCGATTGTGTGGCTTGTGAATAGTCCAGGACGGACCGAAACGTCGTCGTCCCTCCAACTTCTAGTGTGTGTTCTGGTCAACATACTTCAGCCACGTTATTGTGACTCATAGCCTGCATTGGAAGGAAATGCCTCTGTAACTGAAACATTTGTGGAAATACTGAGAAAGAGCTCAGAAGCAATGGCCACAGTGAGGGAGGTAGCCATGCAAGCAGCCACCTCACAGGAAGCAGCAAGGAGCACCAGTCAGCTGCTTTGTTACACCTTTGTTACATCCTATCCACTCATGTCACCCATATATATTTATTTAGACAAACCGTCCAACAGACTTATTGGATTTAGCCTTAGTTATTTGAGGTTAGGACAGGTGGGGTTAGGTAAAGTCAGTAATTTTTATGATAACTGAAAAAAATTCTGTGTCCAATAAAATGCATCCTATTAGAACCAAAATTTCTCAAAATCTAGCAAAAATTAAACTTTACTACACAAATTTAACCAATTTCAAACTAGCGAAAGCTAAATTAACAATATATAAGCATCTCATATCCTCACATACAAGACAATGTAACCCTTTCCATCCATTACAGATGCTAGCTATAACTCTAACCCAAATTGGGTAATTTACTACATTTTCTGAGCAAGCTAGTTCATTACCAATAAGATATATATCCAACCCCACACAGCCCTACCTAACCTGACCTTACCCATCCAAAGCTAGATTTTATTTAAGTTGGCGAAATTTAAGCTATCCCACCTAAATTTTACCTAATTTAATACAATTTATACCAAATTTACACAAATTTACCGTTTCATGGCACAACCAAACCCCAATTTATCCAGGTTTAACCTATTCCATCTAAATTGACAGCACCTATATCCTCACATATAACCCTATGTAGCCTCTCTCCACCCATCAAGAGAGCTAGCTAAAACTCAATCCCAAATATGGCAATTTATGTTATTTTCTGAACAATCTAGTTCATTACCCCTAAGATATTATATATCCTACCTTATACAACCTTACGTAACCTAACCTAGCGCATCCAAAGCTATTTGTATTAAAGTTAGCTAAAAATTTAAGGTTAAATTTCACCTAATCTCAGACAATTTCCACCAAATTTAATAAATTTTACCAATATTTAAAGATTTTTAATACAACTTCTTCCAAATGTTATGCATATATGCTGTATTTTCTATATTTTGTGTGTAAATGTAATATTTTCTGTGTAGATGACATATTTGTGTGGAAATGTCATGCTTTGTGTATAAATGCCATAATGAGTGTAAATGTGTACTCACCAAGTTGTACTCACCTAGATGTGTCTGCAGGATCGAGCATTGACTCTTGGATCCCGCCTTTCGAGCATCGGTTGTTTACAGCAATAACTCCTGTCCCATTTCCCTATTATACCTGGTTTTAAAATTATGAATAGTATTTACTTCCATAACCTGTTCCTTAAGTGCATTCCATTTTCCCACTACTCTCTCGCTAAAAGAAAACTTCCTAACATCCCTGTGACTCATCTGATTTTCCAGCTTCCACCCATGTTCCCTCGTTCTGTTACTATTCCGTGTGAACATTTCGTCTATGTCCACTCTGTCAATCCCTCTGAGTATTTTATACGTTCCTATCATGTCCCCCTGTTCCCTTCTTCTTTCTAGTGTCGTAAGGCACAGTTCCCTCAGGCGCTCCTCATACTCCATCCCTCGTAGCTCTGGGACGAGTCTCGTTGCAAACCTCTGAACCTTTTGCAGTTTCTTTATATGCTTCTTCAGATGGGGACTCCATGATGAGGCGGCATACTCTAAGACTGGCCTCAGTAGGCAGTGTAAAGTGCCCTAAATGCCTCCTTACTTAAGTTTCTGAATGATGTTCTAACTTTTGTCAGTGTAGAGTATGCTGCTGTCGTTATCCTATTTATATGTGCCTCAGGAGATAGATTTGGTGTTACGTCCACACCCAGGTCTCTTTCTCGCGTCGTCACAGGTAGGCTGTTCCCTATAAACAGTTCCCTATAAACGATATAAAAGTGTATTATTATAAATCTTTCATTATACAATGGTCGCATATCTGGAAGATGCATCATGAAAAAGTGTTTTACATTTCATCTTTTATTAAAGATTAAATGGGTCGCATGAGACAATATTTTTTCCCATGAACGAAAAAATCTAATAATTTCCAGATTGTCGATATATATCAATTTTTGTTATTAATTACTAGTTATCACAGGGATTTACATTTAATACAGTTTAATGATATATTTAACAGCTCCAGATGTGTGGAATGATAGTAATTATTTAAACATAAAAATTTTGAAATACAAAATTCTAATTATTTTTGAATAAATATATTGTAGTGAATGAAAGAGAATATATTTTTAAGAAAATTCAGGAGCAACACAAAAGATAAGAGGAAGGATCAGATTCAAATATGAAGTTTACATTAAAAAGAAGACATTTGTAAATAATTGCTTGGGGTATACTTTACATTATTCAAGCAACAGTTAGACAAATATAAGAGTTATTGTGGATGGTATAAACAAGAGCTTCAGTACTTGTGGCCAATATAAGAGTGGTTGTGGATGGTATAAACAAAAGCTTCAGGACTTGTGGCCAATATAAGAGTGGTTGTGGATGGTATAAACAGCTTCAGGAGCAATATAAGAGTGGTTGTGGATGGTATAAACAAGAGCTTCAGGACTTGTGGCCAATATAAGAGTGGTTGTGGATGGTATAAACAAGAGCTTCAGGACTTGTGGCCAATATAAGAGTGGTTGTGGATGGTATAAACAAGAGCTTCAGGACTTATGGCCAATAAACCTTCAGTTTCGTCTGTCCTCGTGTTGTATACATGTATCTGTGCTCACCACACAGGAGTGGTGGACAACGTCCCTGAAGGGTCCGTGCGTCCTGAGGTCCAGAACACTACTGCCAGGGGCTCTGTGGTCTTCACATGGGACCCTCCCAACAACCCTAACGGCGGAGTGGTTGCTTACATCTTTAAAATCCTGGGTGTGAGTTGTTTTAATTGTTGTGCGGGTTATTGTGTGTAAATATTGGTGTTAGGGGTGTGTGAGCTCTAATGTAGAAAAATGATTAAATGTAAATGTCCTATAATCAGTCAACATTGTGATGTATACCTCCCAGGCACTCACTTGTGAGATGTATACCTCCCAGACCCTCTCTTGGAGATGTATACCTCCCAGACCCTCTCTTGGAGATGTATACCTCCCAGACCCTCTCTTGGAGATGTATACCTCCCAGACCCTCTCTTGGAGATGTATACCTCCCAGACCCTCTCTTGGAGATGTATACCTCCCAGACCCTCTCTTGGAGATGTATACCTCCCAGACCCTCTCTTGGAGATGTATACCTCCCAGACCCTCTCTTGGAGATGTATACCTCCCAGACCCTCTCTTGGAGACGTATAAATCCATTACTGTTTCTTATGGAATGTGTAAATCCATGACTCTCTCCTGTGATATGTAGATCCATAACTCTCTCCTGTGATGTGTAGATCCATGACTATCTTCTGTGATGTGTAGATCCAAGAATATTTTCTGTGATGTGTAGATCCATGACTATCTTCTGTGATGTGTAAATTCATGACTCTCTCTTGTGATGTGTAAACCCATGACTCTCACCTGTGATGTGTAGATCCATGACTGTCTCTTGTGATGTGTTGATCCCTAACTCACTCATGTAATGTGTTGATCCATAACTCACTCCTGTGATGTGTTGATCCATAACTCACTCCTGTGATGTGTTGATCCATAACTTACTCCTGTGATGTGTAGATCGTTGACTCTCTCCTATGATGTGTAGATCCTTGACTCTCCTGTGATGTGTAGACCCATGACTCTCTCCTGTGATGTGTAGACCCATGACTCTCTCCTATGATGTGTAGATCCTTGACTCTCCTGTGATGTGTAGACCCATGACTCTCTCCTGTGATGTGTAGACCCATGACTCTCTCCTGTGATGTGTAGATCCATGACTATCTTCTGTGATGTGTAGATCCATAACTCTCTCCTGGGATGTGTAGATCCATGACTCTCTCTCTTGTGATGTGTTGATCCATGACTCTCTCTCTTGTGATGTGTTGATCCCTAACTCACTCCTGTGATGTGTTGATCCATAACTCACTCCTGTAATGTGTTGATCCATAACTCACTCCTGTGATGTGTTGATCCCTAACTCACTCATGTGATGTTTTGATCCATAACTCACTCCTGTGATGTGTTGATCCATAACTCACTCCTGTGATGTGTTGATCCATAACTTACTCCTGTGATGTGTAGATCGTTAACTCTCTCCTGTGATGTGTTGATCTATAACTCACTCCTGTGATGTGTTGATCCATAACTCACTCCTGTGATGTGTTGATCCATAACTCACTCCTGTGATGTGTAGATCGTTAACTCTCTCCTGTGATGTGTAGACCCATGACTCTCTCTTGTGATGTGTAGACCCATGACTCTCTCTTGTGATGTGTAGACCCATGATTCTCTCTTGTGATGTGTAGACCCATGACTCTCTCCTGTGATGTGTAGATCGTTGACTCTCTCCTGTGATGTGTAGATCCATGACTCTCTCCTGTGATGTGTAGATCGTTGACCTCTCCTGTGATGTGTAGATCCATGACCCTCTCCTGTGATGTGTAGATCGTTGACCTCTCCTGTGATGTGTAGATCGTTGACCTCTCCTGTGATGTGTAGATCGTTGACTCTCTCCTGTGATGTGTAGACCCATGACTCTCTCTTGTGATGTGTAGACCCATGACTCTCTCCTGTGATGTGTAGATCGTTGACTCTCTCCTGTGATGTGTAGGTCGTTGACTCTCTCCTGTGATGTGTAGACCCATGACTCTCTCCTGTGATGTGTAGACCCATGACTCTCTCCTGTGATGTGTAGGTCGTTGACTCCTTCCTGTGATGTGTAGATCCATGACTCTCTCCTGTGATGTGTAGACTCATGACTCTCTCTCCTGTGATGTGTAGACTCATGACTCTCTCCTGTGATGTGTAGACCCCTGACTCTCTCCTGTGATGTGTAGACCCATGACTCTCTCTTGTGATGTGTAGATCTATGACTTTCTTTCCCACAGAGGGTGCACATTGAGAGGTGTGTCAGCAACCAAGTGTTCGAAGACCAAGGTCGCAAGGTGGAATTACATGATCTTTCTCCTGGTAATTATTCGATTTGGGTCAGAGTGAGGTCAAAGGCCATGTACGGCAACTTCTCCAATCCAGTTTTTTTCGTAATTCCGGTAAGTTAGCCGAAACAAATTAATCAAATAAATACAAAGTGCATTTAATATTAGTATATATTAGGGAATAAGACATTGGGTGTTATACTAAAGACAGTACTTGCCTAAGAGGCGCAGGAAGTTTATAGCTTACTAGTTAGTGTAGTCAGGCGGTGTCCAGCTCGTCCCTCCCTGGCCTCTCTTCACACATCCTTTCCCTCTCTCTCTCCATCCCTGTAAGAATCATCGATAATAACTGCCTTCATCTTTGTAAACATCTTCACGCCGTCTACATTCCCTCCTAACATCTTCAAACACACGCTCTCCCTAAACACACACACTCCATTTCATCCTACATACACTCCTGTTCTCCCAGTACATACTACATTCCCCTATCTCCCTCCCCCTCCCTGATCACCCATGACCCTACCCCCGTGTCGTGTCCCATCTCCACCTACCCACACCTTCCCCTGTTCCCTCCCTGGCCACACACGTCCTTTGCCAGCCACTAAATCCTCCTTCCCAAAACTAGCCCATCCCCATCTCTTCCCTGCCTTCCCACCCACACATCCTTCCCAATCTCCTTCCCTCCGTGCTAACACACTTCAATCCATTGTCTTTTCCCTCCTTCAATACTTACAGTCTTCCCTATCTCCCTTTTCTCGCCTCTCTTCCCCTGCCTATACACTTCCTTCCCCAGTCAAGATAACCAAAAAGTTGTCCCTTGAATGCAAATCTGGCATTAAGACAAATGTTTTGAAAATCAATATATTAATTCACTTTTTTTTATTAACACATTTAGGTACATCTGTAGTTGTACAGATACCCTAGACTATATGAAGGGGAGCACAGCATGTCAAAAAAGCTTGCAACCTGATTCTAAAAATCCCTATCACACAGAATAGTCAAACAAAGGCATGTGATAAGTAGCCTGAACCGGCAGACTCTGGGTGCATTATTCGGATATCATCATGAACAAAAGGCAGCAGTGATACTAAAAATCCCCATCTTACAGGATGGCTAGTCATACAGGGCCGTACGTTCAGTAGCCTGCACTGGCAATTTTTGGTGTATGAGGATATCCTCAAGAACACGAGAGTGAATAAAGTAATTGCAAAGCTCTTTACTTCATGCCAACGGGTCTGATAACTTGGCATTCGGTGATGTAGTGTGGGAGATCATGCCTCAGTTCCTACTCACAGTTTTTGCACCTGGAGTGCTCAGGATTGGGAGATCCGTCACCTGTAGCCACCTGCCACAGGTAACGGTAACCCAACCTGTTCCTGGCAACCACTGTGTCGTACAGTCTGGTGGACGTATTGTGCTGCCCATATACATAGGTTCAGATCTGAACAAATCATAGCTTTTTAGACTGGTTCTTTTAGATCTTTGAGAGACAGTAATTTATCTCGTATTTTATTATTTAAACAATTGATGAAGTCTATGGACTCGGAGTTGAACATTTCACATCCACAAAATTCGTGGAGGAGCGGCAATGGGGGCAGTGTCCTCCTTCAGGGGAAGAGGGGGGCACTTGTACGATCCCGACCTCCTCTACGACACTCTCGATAAAATATATGTTAATTTTGTAGAATTTAATGAAGCTAGTCCCAAGAATTTCTCCTCCAGTCTTGCACAAATCAACAGACATTCTACTTAATACATCTAAACAGGTAACAATACACACAGTGATGTGACTATCATCTGAAAGATAAAGGCTGAGGAGTGTGTAGAGGGAGACTTCGTGAGGGCACACCAGTAACAGACCAAGCAACGCTTACATGATACTATAATAGAAAATAAATGACAAAATTTGTATGGTTAGTTAGAGCTATATAAATTCTTGTCAGTATTGGCTGCCTCGCCAATCAAAATAGTCTTCACTTGGGAATGAGGCGTCGACTTTTTCGAAAAATAATTAAAATTATGGATATATGAAATAGGCATCTTACCAACTTCATGAACTCATCTGGCAATGTGGTGACTTTTCAGGATGATACGTCTTCGAAGGAGTTCGGTCTGGGGGTGATCTCAGTGGTGGTGGCGTGGGTGATAGTGGTGGCCATTGTATGCTGGTCCTGGCGCCGATACAATGCTAGGTACAACATTCCTGACACTGTCGATAAAGTCGACATCAACCCGTACTACTGCGGTAAGCGCAACTCCTGTCTCCTATCGTCTGTCCTTCTCTCTTGCTCTCTTTTTTTCATACACATGACTGTGGAAAGTGGCCTAAAAGACATAACTGAGAACAGGTGACCTCTACCAACCCTAAACACAAGATCCAGCTCATCATAAACTGCAAGAGGTAAAAGATCACCAAATTCCTCGTGAAAACCTTCATGACAACAAACGGGATGTTTTAAAGGAGACGAAAGTCATTTTTGCCTTTACATTCTTCTTGGTGACTGTCAGCTCCAAGAATATCATTATATAGACACGATAACAAATTTCTTTCAAAAAAGCACCACTAAGCATAAACAAGAAGGCTCACATCACTTCAACACACAGCCAGACAATTGTCAGCATACAACAATAATAGAAGATTAGACATAGCCGAAGTACTACATATTATGCATTCTCATTTAGCAACAGGCAGTTTACACTTATGTACTTCCTACCATCTACGAGACCAAGACAAAACTGCCAGCTCACACTACACCTTCTGTTCCAGCCAACCAATGAGTATGCAAGATTATCTAATTCCCTCGAATGGGTAATAGGTCACCTCATCTCATCTCACTTAGTATTTATATTGTTACCTCTTCTAATTTATATCCACTTTTCCTCTCTCAGATATTGATGAGAACTTCAACTAAACGCACCATTAGGTGATATGATAGATAAATAGCGGATAGATAATAATAATGGATGAGACAGATATAATAAATATACCTTGGTTAGATAAATAATGTATATATATGTATGTATTTCAATCACATCGGCACTGGAAGACTCGAACTCTCCCAGTGCCGAAACTCGAACGAGCGTCAGGCAAAATCTCTACCTCTAAGCCACACACAGACGTCTCTAATAGAGAAGATTTCAGATGCAGCAAACTATTGTCTCTGAAATTGTATACTTCTCCCAGCCATTGCTAAGGTCCAAGGAATTTAGTGATCCATGCTTTTGCTTTACGCTCGCGGGGTCGAGATGCCATCAATGATGTAACTGCCCAAAACGCCATGCCCACTTCACCTGATTAATCTTTGTAGGCATACGTTATTGGCCTATGCCACTTACCTTTACACCCCACCTCTCACCTATTTGTGTGTACCTGACCTCCCAGAAGTATCAGTCTGATACGTCCTCTCCTGTCTCGACCCAAATATCACAGTAACAAGGTTATCGCGAATAATCGATACTCAAATAAAAGTATCACATAAATAATCGATAAAACTCAATTATGGGCCCACTATAGCCTGTGCTACAATGTCATTTTGTTCTGAGTTACTAAATCTAAAACAACAACTCCTGTCTCCAGACCAAGTTAACTTTAGACCAATATACAGCTCCACTCCTGTGCCAGTAAGTTCACTGCGGGCTCAGCATAGCCCGTGCTACTTGGAACTTTTTTCCGAATAGCTGAATCTAAAACAACAACAACTCTTGTCTCCTTTTACGGTCTATTCATGCCCGTGCCACCTGTTGGGTGGCCTAATCTCTATACATCAATCATCCTGTTTCCTCACTTGAGAATGAACCTTGTAGGTTCGAAACATTGTGTAAATTTATAATAAGTGTAATACATTCTACAGTTAATTTGTATTATTTTAGTAAATTTCGAACAAATATGACATTTGTAGAAATCCTCCTCTAAATAAACCAAGATGCAGGAGCAGTGGTCAGAGGGAGAGAAACACTAAGCAAGAACATAGGTAACATGGAATGTGCAGTCATCTTCAATGAAACATGTCTGAAGGAAAACCTGCTGCCAATATACATGTATGTATTAGTACTTTCCATTCACCTGGCCTCTAGGAGACTCGAACCATCTCCTAGAGTCTCCTAGAGCCCAGGTGAATGGAATGTTTATTTCCACGGAAGTGTGGATGACAATGTATATGACATGGGCGTGGGCCAGTAAGTCCTCTGGGCTTCAGTAGTAGTCAGCGGGGAAAGTCAAACATTCCAGTTTGGCAGCAGGATGCTGCTTCTGGAAACTTTCCTTATTAAGACTACTCAATGGCTCGGTCGATAGATCTCCGGCGTCACACACGTGAGGTTCACAGTTCGAGTCTCCTAGAGCCCAGGAGAATTGAACAAACACACATATTCTCTCTTATAGGTTTCAGTATATCAATACCCTCGCTATTTTACTAATTACATTAACAATATACTTATGTTGTGGTGGTAGAGGGCCTTAATACACTGACCATATACTTATGTTGTGGTGGTAGAGGGCCTTAATACACTGACCATATACTTATGTTGTGGTGGTAGAGGGCCTTAATACACTGACCTTATACTTATGTTGTGGTGGTAGAGGGCCTTAATACACTGACCATATACTTATGTTGTGGTGGTAGAGGGCCTTAATACACTGACCATATACTTATGTTGTGGTGGTAGAGGGCCTTAATACACTGACCTTATACTTATGTTGTGGTGGTAGAGGGCCTTAATACACTGATCTTATACTTATGTTGTGGTGGTAGAGGGCCTTAATACATGACCTTATACTTATGTTGTGGTGGTAGAGGGCCTAATAATACTTATACTGGTAGAGGGCCTTATACACTGACATATACTTATGTTGTGGTGGTAGAGGGCCTTAATACACTGACCTTATACTTATGTTGTGGTGGTAGAGGGCCTTAATACACTGACCTTATACTTATGTTGTGGTGGTAGAGGGCCTTAATACACTGACCTTATACTTATGTTGTGGTGGTAGAGGGCCTTAATACACTGACCTTATACTTATGTTGTGGTGGTAGAGGGCCTTAATACACTTATACTTATGTTGTGGTGGTAGAGGGCTTCGCTCCAGCCGAGATGTTCCGCCAGGACTTAATTTTTTGGCGCGGGGACCTGAAGGTTTTTCATGACTGTCCTCTTGGCCATGGCGTCTTCGGGAAGGTGTTCGAGGGAGAGCTGAGTCGGGACGGCCAGCAGACAAGGGTCGCTGTGAAGACCCACAGCGACACAGCCACTAACGACCAGGTCCGCCAATTTCTTAAGGAAGCCGCTCTTATGCAGTGAGTACTCATATTACAGTGATAAGGTCAACAGTAAGTTGGATATGAGTTAATGGATCACAATTGACTCGGAAATATCAATATCCACAAGTGGGTAAGGATTGCACTGACAGAGATATCACATAGACGGGATAGTGGTTGGGGAGAGCTAGGATAGCTGGGTAATGGTGGGGTGACCTGGGCTATTGTGAGGGAGGGGAGACTAAGACATGAACAGTGGAGGTGCCTGAGCTACGGCAGGCTGGGTGATGGTGAGGAATGGACAAGGTCTGGTTAAGAGGTGATGGTGAGGAGTGGGCAAGGTCTGGTTAAGAGGTGATGGGGGCTGGCTAGGAGATGCTGAGTGGTAGCGGTGTGAGCTGTGAGAACCTGTGTGATGGTTGGATGAGCTAAGGAAGCCTGGGTGATGGTTGGATGAGTTAAGGTAGCCTGGGTGATGGTTATATGAGCTAAGGAAGCCTGGGTGATGGTTGGATGAGCTAAGGAAGCCTGGGAGATGGTTGGATGAGCTAAGGAAGCTTGGGTGATGGTTGGATGAGCTAAGGAAGCCTGGGTGATGGTTGGATGAGCTAAGGAAGCTTGGGTGATGGTTGGATGAGCTAAGGAAGCTTGGGTGATGGTTGGATGAGCTAAGGAAGCTTGGGTGATGGTTGGATGAGCTAAGGAAGCCTGGGTGATGGTTGGATGAGCTAAGGAAGCCTGGGTGATGGTTGGATGAGCTAAGGAAGCTTGGGTGATGGTTGGATGAGCTAAGGAAGCCTGGGTGATGGTTGGATGAGTTAAGGAAGCCTGGGTGATGGTTGGATAAGCTAAGGAAGCTTGGGTGATGGTTGGATGAGCTAAGGAAGCCTGGGAGATGGTTGGATGAGCTAAGGAAGCCTGGGTGATGGTTGGATGAGCTAAGGAAGCTTGGGTGATGGTTGGATGAGCTAAGGAAACTTGGGTGATGGTTGGATGAGCTAAGGAAGCCTGGGTGATGGTTGGATGAGCTAAGGAAGCCTGGGTGATGGTTGGATGAGCTAAGGAAGCCTGGGTGATGGTTGGATGATTTAAGGTAGCTTGGGTGATGGTTGGATGAGCCAAGGAAGCCTGGGTGATGGTTGGATGAGCTAAGGAAGCTTGGGTGATGGTTGGATGAGCTAAGGAAGCCTGGGTGATGGTTGGATGAGCTAAGGAAGCCTGGGTGATGGTTGGATGAGCTAAGGAAGCCTGGGTGATGGTTGGATGAGCTAAGGAAGCCTGGGAGATGGTTGGATGAGCTAAGGAAGCCTGGGTGATGGTTGGATGAGCTAAGGAAGCTTGGGTGATGGTTGGATGAGCTAAGGAAGCTTGGGTGATGGTTGGATGAGCTAAGGAAGCTTGGGTGATGGTTGGATGAGCTAAGGAAGCCTGGGTGATGGTTGGATGAGCTAAGGAAGCCTGGGTGATGGTTGGATGAGCTAAGGAAGCTTGGGTGATGGTTGGATGAGCTAAGGAAGCCTGGGTGATGGTTGGATGAGTTAAGGAAGCCTGGGTGATGGTTGGATGAGCTAAGGAAGCTTGGGTGATGGTTGGATGAGCTAAGGAAGCCTGGGAGATGGTTGGATGAGCTAAGGAAGCCTGGGTGATGGTTGGATGAGCTAAGGAAGCTTGGGTGATGGTTGGATGAGCTAAGGAAACTTGGGTGATGGTTGGATGAGCTAAGGAAGCCTGGGTGATGGTTGGATGAGCTAAGGAAGCCTGGGTGATGGTTGGATGAGCTAAGGAAGCCTGGGAGATGGTTGGATGAGCTCAGGAAGCCTGGGTGATGGTTGGATGAGCTAAGGAAGCCTGGGAGATGGTTGGATGAGCTAAGGAAGCCTGGGTGATGGTTGGATGAGCTAAGGAAGCCTGGGTGATGGTTGGATGAGCTAAGGAAGCCTGGGAGATGGTTGGATGAGCTAAGGAAGCCTGGGTGATGGTTGGATGAGCTAAGGAAGCCTGGGAGATGGTTGGATGAGCTAAGGAAGCCTGGGTGATGGTTGGATGAGCTAAGGAAGCTTGGGTGATGGTTGTATGAGCTAAGGAAGCCTGGGAGATGGTTGGATGAGCTAAGGAAGCCTGGGTGATGGTTGGATGAGCTAAGGAAGCCTGGGAGATGGTTGGATGAGCTAAGGAAGCCTGGGTGATGGTTGGATGAGTTAAAGAAGCCTGGGGTGATGGTTGCATGAGCTGGGACAGGCTGGGGCTGGGTGGCTTGAGCTAGAATAGACTGAATATTTATAGTGAGGTGACTTGAGAATGGTCCAGGACGGACCGAAACGTCGTCGTCCCGTCACCTTCTAGAGTGTGGTCTGGTCAACATCAGTAGCGAGGTGAGCTTCAGATATGCTGGGGGGTTCTGAAATGAGTTAGGATATGGTTGGTGGTGCCAAGGTGAGTTAGGATAAAATGAGTGGTCGTGCTGGGTTGCGCTAAAATAGGCTGGGTGTGATGAACTAGAACAGAATGGATGGGATGAACTAGGGTCGAGTGTGTGGTGGTGCTGGGAGTGGGCTAGGATAGGCTGGGTGTAGTGAGTCAGGACAGAAGGAGTGCGATGAGCTCGGACATAATAGGTGGTGATGCTGAGGTGAGCTAGGAGAGAATGGGTGGTGGTGCTTGGGTGAGGTAGGATAGGCTTGGGTGAGGTAGGGTAGGCTGGGTGGGATGAGCTAGGACAAGGTTTAGTAGTGGACGTTACACCTATGGGCTGCAGCGGTGTCCCCCCCCCCCTTGCAGGCCATTGTCGCAGGGGCATTTTGATTTGTCTTTCGTATAATTTACCAACCGCTCCCTTCCATCATATATAATTTTCCAAAAATAGGAATTAAACAAGTCCCTTCTGACCCTGATTATTTCGCCCAAGGGCAATTAACGGCCGCCTCCAGTCATCCCGAAATGTGGTGACCTCGGTGACATGCACAGACACCATTGACCATCCATAATGGTCAATGACCTCATTAGCCAGCCAGTCTTCATCTTCCCTCAATAAAATCGTTTTCTGAGATAGCGTATTAAACCTCTTTTTCATCTTTACATCCATTTTCAATATTTTAGTCAAGGGAATTAAAGGATTGCATTCTGTCAACCCTAATGTGCAATGACGTCATCCTTCATCGTCCCCCAATTAGCCCGTTTTCTGTGATAGCATATTTAAACTCATTTTCATATTTTTGCCCATTTTCAAAGATTATTTCTAGCTATGATCGCATAATGAACATAAGAATAAAATTGCAGAAGGCCTTTGTAAGGAACCTTTCAGGATCTCCTATTTACTTTCAGCCCATGTTAAACCACAACATCAACTGCCACTTTTGGATAAACTGCAGAAGGCATATGTATGGAAAGCAAGTGAAAAAATCTCTATTACGTCATCAATATAAACTGCTGAAGGCATATGTATGGAAAGCAAGTGAAAAAATCTCTATTACGTCATCAATATAAACTGCTGAAGACTCTACGCTTCAATCATGTCACTCCATCAATATGCTGAAGGCTCTATCAATATAGTCCCTTATTGAGCCCTTTCATCTGCGAGTACTAAATATTCTTTGCCTAACTATTTGCTCAGCTTACTTCTCTACACCTGATATTTATAGTGTCCAGCTAAAGATTGTTTATTGAGCATAGGAATGAATGAAACAGCCTACCTCCCATTTCTACGAAACCAAAGAGACAACACAAAGTATGAACTGACCATTGTCTTCTCGTCCTCCTTACCATTCCCCCCCCCCCTCCCCTCGTACAAGCCATTTAGAAAGCTTGTAAGAAATGGATCCCACAGAACTGATGACAGGCCTCATGGGATTGTTAGGTTTAAGCGTCTTGACAAGTCCATATAGATATGGTAATGAAGGTGATGAGGTAGTAAATTGATTAAGATCTTTATGTTTACGTATCAACTTCCTCAAGCTGCTATTGAAGAACTTGATGATGTCCTCAAGAGGATTTTTGCTGAGTTTAGTGTATGTTGAAGAATCTTGGAGATCATTCATCTTCGAAATATAGGAGAGAGTGGTGGAGTGAGATGAGGTACAATGACAAATAAATGTGAATTAGGTGTACACACATATGAGCCGCATAAGAACTGCAGAAGGCCTATTGGCTCATATGATGCAGCTCCTATTCATACCCACCATCAGGCCCACACATGGATAATAATAGCATAAGATAGTAAATATTTACAATGAAATAGTGAGACAAATGTGTATCAATGATCCTACTCAAATCGCATTTTAATTGATTTATCAAAAATAGATCTAAGTTATATAAACCACTGCTAATGTTCAAATTACTTTCTTTTGTAATCTGTATCAAAGCCGATTCAATTATGTTTCTGTTATAAGTGCTTTTACAATTCGTTATTGAAGAAGCCATCTCCCAATCAATTTGGTGAGCATCTTCTGACAGATGAACAAACAAAGCATTAGACAATTGGCCATGTCTTACAGAGTATTTATGTTGCGAAATTCTACATTTCAAATCTTTAGATGTTTGCCCAACATAGAACTTATTACAGTCTTTACAAGGTATTTTATAAATGACACAATTATCACTACGAGGGCTGTTTCTAACTAATAGCTTACCAACAGTATTTTCGTAGCTAAACGTATATCGTTTAGCTAAACGTATATCTTTAGCTACGTATATCAAAAAGTTTCAAGGCCTTGACAATATTCTCAAACCCAGAGAAATATGGTAAACATAACACATTTTTTGGGCGAATTTTTTCACTGCATATATTATTATAATATGTACGACGTGCTTTGCTACGGCAAACTTCAAAAAAACTCAGTGGGTAACAAAGCTTGAGACCAATCGAATCAATATTCCTAAACTTTTCATCAAAGAATTCTGGACTCACAACTCGAAGATATCTTAGATACATTGAAGAAAAAATTGATTTTTTTTAAGGAGGATCATTGATACACATTTGTCTCACTAATTCATTGTAAATATTTACTGTCTTAGGCTATTATTATCCATGTGTGGGCCTATTG